GATAGATTTATTAATACGGATCATAGACAATGTTTCAATGCGCGGTAGACAATATTGTATGTAAAATATCATTAGCGCGCAGGTCACGTGGTAGAATACCGTGTCCAAATACATTGTCGGTACATTTTATAATCTGTACCACATTTCACATAACACGAACCTTATAGACGAAACTTCAGAATACTGCACTAATATTTAATAAGTTAATATTTGCAATATCATTTGGTTAATGATAATTAACGGAATGATTTATTGATTGATACATGTTTATTGTACTTAGTAAGTATTTACTATAATTATAATGCCCATTTGACCTCACGTATCGAACATTGTACTTGATAAATTAATAGCGTATTGTTTGACAATGTATCTATGAATTGGACTGCCCAATATTGGTCCACCAACATCAAGTAATCGAAAGAGATTTTCATATCTTTACTATATTAATATATTTGCCGTCTTTAAGGTATTACTCTTGCCTATTAAATTGTTCTGTCTTACTAGTAGAACAAAATGTACTAAATTCTATTAGTAAGAAAGAACGGAGAGGGAAATTTTACTCTCTTCCAACATCAAAGAGTCGCATTTTGATTGTCACATTTCAAATGTCACGTAAGATACTTTTTAACAATTTATAATTTTCGTATTTAGTAGTAATGAAGTCGTTTATTGCACTCCCATAATGAAGACGAAACGAACAGGACTTATTTTAAATTAAATTTGGGTTCAAATTACTGTTTTTGTAATTTGTTTTTGATATTTTATTTATTTAAATTATTTCGTACATTCCACTTTTAATTTACTTTGTGATATACTAGTTATAAATTGGGATATTTATAATTGTCTTCCAGTGGAGAAGGAGGGAGGGGGGAGGGAGGGTGTTTTCTCGAGACACGTTTTTTACAAAGTTTCGCTGGGATATTGAGGGAGCTAGATATTCTGGGATGGGGATGGGGATGGGCACGGTCCATCCGTTCCCTCTTTAAATACACATATGAAGGATTGAATCATCATCACCATTTCAGCCATTACCCGTCCACTGCTGGACATAAGCCTCCCCCGTAGACTGCCGAAAAGAACGGTCCTGAGCCACCTGTATCCACTGACTCCCTGCAATACATTTCAGTTCGTCACTCCATCCAGTGGGGGGTCGTCCTACACCGCGTTTGTCTGTACGGGGTCGCCACTCAAGAACCTTATAAGAATTGAATAAAACAACATTATTATTGCATTTCAAAACCGCGAAGATCTTTAGACAAATATTTTTTTTTTCTGTACCCAAGAATAAAAATTTCAATCTTTTTTTTGTGTCAGAATAAACACTCTCCCCACGTATGATTAATGATGGAAATGCCCATGAATTATATAATAAAAAATATCATAATAAATGATAAATATTATGCATTCTAAATTTAACAACAATGTATATATAAATGTATTTATCAAGTTAGCACAGACAGTTCGGAATATTCGGCCTGATTCGTTATTACTGATGTTACATTACATTATAGTTCGTATTTTAAAAATCTGCGAATGCATTTAAAATTTAGAGCAATAAGTACATTAGAGAATCGTGTGGTCCCGGCATAGAATAAGCCACACAACCCTCTCCTGTGAGTGTCGTAAGAGGCAACTAAGGGAACTTAATGCTCGAGGGATGGTCGACAGCATTTCACATAAAACATCCCAAATGCTTCACTTCGGTTGATAACCCGGCTGCTTGGCAACTATTAGCAAATCCCCCCTTTTTGGGGGAGGCCTTTTTTACAGGTGTGGATATTTAGTGGCTGATTTAACGGTAATGATGATGATATAATTTTTTTTAAGTTATCTATACAGAAATGAACAAAACAAGTAATTATTTACTAAAACATTTCCTGTGACAATAATGTTTTAATCATTCTTGTGTAAACATTTACGTATTTGTGATTTACACTTAATTTACGTATTTGTCATTTATAAGTCGATAAATACGTTTTATTTACACAAAAGTGATATAAAATATTTGAAAAATAAAAAATCTCTTTCGTCTTTATAGAAGTTTAAAAATAAAACATAGATAGGGTAATATTTTCAACATGGAACTGAGACAAATACGGGTAGAATATGGTTTATGACAATGAAGGTGATAATGCAGCGAAATTATACCTTATCCATTTTATTATTGTTTTTTAAGATATCTCAATTAGAATAGACGTGGGCAATATATAGAAATATTTATATATTTTAGTTACAATATCTATGTATTGGTACGATAACGAATATGTTAAAAATCTGTTACCCTAAAAACAATATTCTCACGACTCTGTAACGCGCTTCCTGATGCCATTAAGAGACTTGCTTTATGTCATATATATGTAAGTATATTTGTTATACATATATATTTATTCGTTTATATATGTAATTTTAGTATGTATGTATATCAATAATTACTAGTGCCGCATTCGAGTATTCTGACACTTCCCTATGTTTGACTGGGAGAGAATGCTTTTAGTATTAAGTCCGCCATGTACACATATTTGTACTAATGAATAAATAAATAAATTGAACAACAGATTTTTAACATATTCGAAAACACATATAGAAATAGATTTCTCTGTCAACAGTGTCCAGAGATACCCAATATATACATAGGTATAAGATTGCTACCCATATAACCCATGTCTAATTAAGAACAATTATTAATGACTTTAAAATGATTTTTATATATTATTATTGTTTAATTAAGTCGATTATTACATTAAATGCTATTACAAAGTTGGAAAAACAACAGTCTTTGTAGTAAATTGATTTTGTTTCTAGAACATTAAGGGATAATAAAATGGATAAGATATATTCAAGTGAAGCAAATTTCACATATGTATGGTAAAAGTGCCATTTTTTGCTGTCAATGTTTATAAATTATGTGTATTTGTATGTACGATTAGAGCATCTGAAGTCTTAAACTAAGATTGATGTTTCGGCACCAAAATTTGTGATATTACAAGGTAACTAATAATATTAAACGAGATTGCAATATATGTATTTATAATAGTAATAATATCTATATAATAAAACTATTTACAAAGAATATCTTCATTTGTGATTTTTGGTTTTAAATTGTTCTTTCCTCGCGAGGAAACATAATATTTATTTACCGTGCGTATTGTTTCATATGACATTATTTATACAGGGTGATGTCAAAATCATCAGCATTCCTTTGAGGGGGTTACCATTCTATTATCACCCATTAAAAAAAAAAACAGTGAATCTTAAAATAACATGATAAATATTTCAAGCCTTACCAACACGGAGTTAGTGTGAGAGGCTCATTTAATCTCTTTTCAATTCATTTTCTTCACAAAATATGCACGAATGGATTCAAATAATGGTACTTATTAAATTGTGTACATTAAAACCATTAACAACACGTATACAAATAAAAAATAAAAAAAAAAAGAAAGATGGAGGGGTAACAACGGGCGGCTTTATCGCTAAATAGTGACATATCCCAGGCTCCCAGGCAATCTTAAACGTATTCAGTTTCACTGACCCTAAGAACGACAATGTTTTTGATTTCACGCTGTATGAATAAAAAAAAACATCAGTGTCATGCAAGCACGCTAAATTTTTTGGCCCTCAAACTAGGATACCCTGTCTTCTGAGGAGTTAGATTATATACATATATTGTTTACTATATAATATATATGTATACATAATATTTGACAGGCCTGTGCATTATTTTTTATAACGATTCATTATTATGCAATGTAGCATAATAAAAAGAAATATATGTAATTTAGTTTATTTCACAACATTTTATTTGTAATTGTTATTTTAATTTACAATTACTCCGTTTATAATTCAAATATTAATATTGTAATAGTAAATATCGACTTATTTACAAATATAGGGTAACAGTACCGTGTGTCGTCATCGCGTCATGTTACGAGTAATTTAATTCGTGTACACTATAAATACTCGTAAATTTATTCAAATTGAAATATATATATATATATATATATATATATATATATATATATATATATATATATATATATATATATATATATAAGTAGTTTTAATTCGACTAGTGCGTAATATACTTTATTTACAATATGTGCATTTTCTTATTTAAGTTTTTGCAACGAATATTAACAGGCAGCTGTTTCCCGTGACATCACTTCGTTATTTTTCGTTTGTATGGAAATTTCCAAAAATTCTTAAAGATCCTGTAATGAATATGTAGGTCAAATTACAACTTTAATGTTTCGAATTTATGAAATTTCTTTATAATTTAATGGTTTTTAATTCTTAATTTATATAATTACCGTGCTGCTATGTACGTTTTAACTGATTTTCGATACAGTTCAAGTTTTTTTTTTATGGAATTTTGTAAATGTGTTTCGTTTACTTCAACTTGAGTGTTACGATAGTTTTTATCTCCATAAATGATCTATCGAGGCAAAAGGACATCTGTCGGGTCAGCTAACCTATACTATTAAAACATTGCAAAGAGGAAATACATACATTACGCAGCTGATTTTCAAAATTCTTTCACCTATAAAGGTACATTATTTTTTAAAATTTTACCAACCGGTGCGAAGCCGGACCGGACCGCCAGTTATATATATTTATAATGTCATATGAAACACACGGCCAGCTAACTACTAGCTAAATACGATACAATTGTGATGGTCACTCAGACTGATCACTTAATTTATATTTACAATCAGACTTTACAACAATAACACTAAATTAAAAAAAAAAAAATGTTAAACCAGATATATTCTCAAACTTTTATATTACACACAGTTTGCGCCTACACTTCATGTACAATACATACGAATATAATTTTAAATATATAATTAATACTAATTTCCTGGTCGCAGGACAGGTACGGTTATTATGTGCTTAATTGAAAGTTACACAATATGACTAGTGATATGTCGATAACTATAGAATATGGTAAAACTCATTATAAACGTATCCATTCACAAATATATCCAATGAGATTATAGTTTTTTTTTTTATTCATATGTTATTTATTAGTCAATATTAACATTAAAATATGTTACGCTATACACAACGCACCACGGGGAGAATGTATATTTAAAAATATATAAATATCTAAATAAAACTAATTATAACAGTATGCTTGTAATTGGATATTAGTTACTCCCTAAGGATTATGATAGAGGACAACAAATCCTTGAAACGTGGAGGTAGGTTTATTAATTTATTCTATTATGCATGCTCATTGTAATAACTATTTAACTTAACTATTTACACTAACATCAGAAATTTGGTCAAACTTGTTAATTTTAATGGAATATAATATCTAGGTATGACGATAAAAATATCATTTACCTTATATTGAGATTTGAAATTGGGTATAATAATAATAATATTAATTATGACTGTAAAAATATAGTGTACAGTCATACACATCAACAATTATTATATATCGACGCAATAAATGTTTAAAACTTCCTTAAGCTACAATAAAGTTTGGGTTAAGAAAAAAAGTTTGAACTTGCAACTTTTTTACGACATTCGCCAGTGTTGTAACATAGGAGAACTTAAGCAGACTGCAAGTTCCGCCTAAGTGGAATGCTTGGATCATACGTTGGACTCGGGTCCTTCTGTATTGTGCTTGAACGACGCGCGTATTCTCGCCAAGTACAGTGCGCAGATGTGGCCGTAGCATTTGTTGTACCACTCCGGTGTACGACCCCTGAAAATTAATAAATAAAATTGTATTTCCTTGATTGATTTGTATTTTTAGTAGTATGATTCTTTGCCAAGTAGCTCAGAAGTTATGATGGGGAAGGAAACACGTGTTTGGTATTAAAGAATTGATGAAAATGAGTCAAAACTTGGAGTATTTTGACATTAACTAAACCACTTTTTGGAGACAAGTTGTTGTATGTCTAAAGAGCTGATCCCTTTAATACAATATAGAGTCCTTTCTAAAGGGCAGCGTTAAAAAGAGCAGTAAATATTATTTTTACTCGAAGTGGTAAAATTGTTAAATAATTGAAGCCATATGTATTTTGGGAAAAAGATATTGTCGAGTAAGGCTCAAGTTTCTGAGAACACGATGCCCACTCCGTGATGTGCTGTTCACGACACCTTGTACGTCACACGAAACCATAGACAAGAATGCACTATGACGTACATGTCACTCTGCAGTATTACCACCACTGTACCCTGTAGTTTCACTGCCATATCTCTCCAAACTAAATAGGATTACGGTAGAAACTTAGTGGGGACGTAGATATTCGAGCAGACGATATCAGTAAATTTGCTCTCTAACATTTTTGTCAGTTTTATTCACCGATGTTAGTGATTGCTACAGTTAATGGTGTACACCAGAGGGAGACTTTGTACAAAAGTTGTTTGCTTGGCCAACTCTGTCCCATTCGTGTTTCTAACGTGAAGCAGTTGTGTTTGCATGGATGGCTGTCTTTCGGTTTGTAGGGTGGGATATGTCTGTAAATTTATGAGGTAAAAAGGAACTAACCGAGTACTCAGGAATGGCAACGCATGGGGGGTATCATGGGCGAAACAGTATACTCTGTTATGTCCGTGGTACTACTCATGTCTATAGGCGACGGTTACCACTTTATATTAGGTGGGTTGACAGTTTGTTTGCGATTCTAAGTTGCTTAAAAAAAACAAAGTGTAACTCACATGGTATCGACCCTGGCGAGGTGCACGAGGCGGCTGCGGCCCTTGCCGGCGGGCTGCGCCAGGTAGCGCGACGCCAGCACCACGCCGCGCGCCGCGCCGCCCGCGCCGCCCGCGCCGCCCGCGCCGCCCGCGCCGCCCGCGCCGCCCGCGCCGCCCGCGCCGCCCGCGCCGTCCGCGCCGCCCGCGCCGGTCACGCCGGTCACGCCTGTCGCGCCGGTCACGCCTGTCGCGCCGGTTGCGCCGCCGGGGGGCGCAGCGGCGTGCGCCACCGACGTCTCCGCCACCGCACACCAACCGCCGGCGCCGCCGCTGCCACCGCCTTGCTGCCACGACCTGTGGAAATTATACCGGGATTTGTAATTCCTCACACTCTCAATTTGCATTATAATATTGTCATTGGTTGTTTCATGTGTTATACAAACTTAATCAAGTCAGTTTTCAAATACAAATTTTACTTTAAAAACCTGAATGCAAAAGAAAATAACATGTACCTTAGAACACAGTAATCCCTCGGCGGCAGGCCCACACTGGACGCAGTAATATACTGGAACACTTCAGCGTTGGTGCCCAGCTTCTCCACTATACGCCACTTGATCAACGAGTCATCCCATATGTGTCGCTCTCGGAGTATTCTGCAATTAATAATAAGTAAAATTGATTAATTCACAAACTACAATAAACGCTAATATTGTCTTTTTTATGCAACTTAGAATGACAAACAAGCTGACGGTCCACCTGATAGAAAGTGGTAACAGTCGCCTATAGACATGAGCAGTACCATGGGCATAACAGAGTATACTGTTTCGCCCATGATGCCCTCCATGTGTTGCCATTCCTGACGACTCAGGTGTTATTCCTCCGTACCCTGTAAATTCACTGCCATATCCCACTCTTCAAACCGAAACACAGCCATGCAAACACAACTGCTTCACGGTAGAAACATGAATAGGGCAGATGTGTACAAGCAAACGACTTTTGTACAAAGTCTTCCTATGATTCCTCTGCAGAGGGATTTAAAAAATAAATTTACCATTACAATTTAGCTCTGTCTATCGACGTTGTTTGACAGGTAAAGTAAATATAATCTCATGATGATAATGATGATATTATTAATTATTTATTTTATGTAATTTTATTTACAGAAAAATATTGCCAGCAATCGTAACATAATTGCAAGAAAAACATCAGCGTTTTTGCTGACGTTGATTTTAATATAAATTCTGAGATATGGCACCATCATCGGCGTGTTCCAAATTATCCAGAAGCTAAATCCAAACGTTAAAAAACGTAATAGTAACAGCATCGGAGCCTACAATATTTATTGTTATTTATGTGTTTTTTTTTATTGGTAGAAAATGGTATAGTAACTCCGCCTGCGCTAACGGGATACGCTGCATCAGTGAAGGGTGATCGATGAGGATGAAAACAGGCCAGTTAGCCCATCATGACGAATTCATCAGGATCATCAATCTGGTTGGGTATATTGCTAGCAATGGGATTCTCAATCTCCATTACTAACAATCCCTTTCCCCTCCCTTCCTTCCTTCCTTTCCCTTTATTTATGTATGTTCAGGATATGAACAGTCATGCATACTTAGTCAATTAAACACAAGCGTCCTTTATAATGGGCATTCTATCACTGATATCGGGGTTACTGCGACACATATGGCGAAAACATATTTTTATTTTTTGTTTTATATTTAAAAAGATGTAATTAATTTGATTGTATTAACTCGTTGTTAATTTACATGTGTCATAAATGGCTCAAATAAAGTGTTTATCTATCTATCTATCTATATCAAGTAGTAAGAACAAGACAATTATTATGTATTAAATATCGATAGCAAAGCGTACTGCCAACATTATATTACAGATAGTTGCTTCTACTTATGATTCATATTCAGAATTGTTTATCATCATCCTACCCTTATCCCAAATATTATTTGAGGTCGGCGTAATAAGTTTTTTATTCATATTACAAAAAGATTTGGCTTATAGTTTTATGACCGGCCGCTACCCTGAAGTCAACCCTTTTTGAAAATGTATTTGTAGGTGGTTTTTGCCATCTAAGATATGGAGGAAAGGATTGAGGAAAAAAAGAAGGGTACGTTAGAAATGCGTTAAGGAAATTGGTAAATAGGAGGAATAAGGGATTTATCTGGGAAAGGAAAGGACTGGGACTATAAGAAGGAAACACTGCAGTTGCAGAAAGGACTGGGAAACTGCAGCTGTTCGGGTAGCCAGGGTTACATACCCGTATGGCCTTATTCTAAAATCGGACAGATTTCTAGAAAAGGACACCCCTGACGCTGTTCAGAATTGAACACCATGCTACTTTAATTTTGTTGTTGATTATGCACACGCACCTTTGCATAACCTCCTGGGGCGGCGCTTCCACATCGGTGGTAGCTCTCCACAGTCTCAGCGGGTGACCATCCCCCACTTTCTTGCAACACAACTCGACGTGAGGAGCTGCGCCCGACACCGACATCCATCCACGTGTTCTGGAATATAAGCCATATCATTCATTTTCTCTTTTTAGGTTAGACTAAACATTTTATTAGATTTTAGTAACGTACTAAGCCTCTAAAATGTCCTCTACTCTTTCATTTTTTATTATAGCTAGAGACATTTTACATTCAGGGATATTGAAAGGTTTGATTTCATTTGTAAGTTCAAATCGTTTACAAATAAATTTACAAATTTGAGGGTATATCGAGTAAAGTTTTGATTTAAGTTTAGCAAGAAGTTGTTAAGTTTAAATAGACTTCATAATTATAATAAATTTGGTTAGACTTACAGTCTATAATTCTAAGACTAACTCTCAAATTCAACATTAGTTAGAGAACGTTTTTCGTTATTTTATAGTGTTATCATAAAAATACTTATTATTTAGAAAATATTAAAAAACAAAATTATATTATTTTAAAATTTCAAAAAAAGGGTCTTTAGTAGTGAATATAGTGTCGGGAATAATATTAAATGTGTCATATTGCAATTTAAAAAGTGCGTAAACATGCAATTTTTAATTATTTGCAATCAACAAACTTTCTTATTTTAGTTCCAATAAAAAACATTAAAACACCTAAGTGGCCACGACGTTGCTACGATGAGAATGGAGTGAGAAACTGAATTTCGGTTAATGATCCAGAAAATAAACAGTTCTGTTTCCTACTGAGATTTTCTATGGAATATAAAAGTACGTTCAGGTTTTAATTTTCCTTGAAGTAATATTTCATCATTGTGTGTCGGAGTCATTGTTTGTTTTATGTAACTCATAATGTTATATTTACCATTATTATTAACTTCTTGAGGTAATTTTTTGGACTATGACTCACTCTAAACAGATTTAAATTGACAAGATCTAATCTTGTCAATTTAAATCTGTTTAGAGTGAGTCCATTTACATTCAATTTATGAGAGATTATTTTTCTATAATTTCTTTAGGCTCTTTATAGATCTTTTCAATCTGATGACAATTTTCATTCGTAATAATATAAATAAAAGAATATTTAATTGATTAAATAAATTATTACTTTACAATTCCGAACACACCATAATTCTCCTTGTTTCTTCGTAGTATAAACGTACGGTGTGTCATAGATAATACAGTATTTTCTGTAAAATTTATGGCATTGTACATGTCTATAGAAGACGGACACTACCTATCTACTTTTTAAAAGACATGATTAGTCCTAAAATTGTAATTCAAGAGCTGAGCTATTATTATTATGATGATTTTATTACAATAATAATAATCTGCATCGGCATTTATTTACAATAGGACAGAAGAAACATTTGCACTTTATTAATAGGTAGATAATAGTTTCTAGATTTTATTAAAAATTATTGTAAATATTTGTAAAATTATTGATTTAAACTATTTTGTATAAATAAAAAATTTGAACACTCTAAGTAAAATACAGTAGAAACAGAACTGCAAAATCTACATCGATGATAAAAGGTTAAGTGGGACACGCTCTAACACCGATATCTCACCTCTTTCCCGATCGGCCACAGACTCTAAAAAAGCATGAAAAAAGTTAGAATCTAGACACAAGTGTAGGTACAACAGAAACAAATGAGAGGTGGTTCAAATATAATTTCTTTAATGATCGCGTAAATTAAAGAGAAATTCTATAGATAAGAAATAGTTAATAAAATATATCTAATTAATAAATAATCACTTATACATACAAGTTTTCAACCAACTCTCACATATTTCTGGATAGACTTCATGTATAAAAAATAGTACGGCAAAAGGAGAACCATGGTCTATAATACGGTCTACGTAAGGCGCAGTTGTTCGGCATTAAATGAAAATTAGGTAGCTTCTGGAAGTTTTGCAGTAATTTTAGTACGAAAGACTCACTTTTCTTTGGCTTCTTTGAGTAGAGCTTTAATGCACGCCTGCTGGAAACCTTTCCAGTCTTGGTTAAAATCTCCACCTAATTCTTCTAACGCCACCTAAAAATTATTTGGGTGTAAAATTCAGAAATAATTTGTCTTCTAGATAGATTAGATTATTTAGAGTTAGATTATTTAATTGCAAAACTCTCAACTCTTTGACAATAACTGCTTGAAATATTCTACATTATTTAAATGTAAATTGACCAAATCAGTTGGAATCAAATAAACAACACAATAAAATTAATTGTAAACAATTTTAAAGAGTACCTCAGGGTCTAATTTTGGGCCCGCACTTACCGGTACACTTTCTTCGAAGTAATTGAATTTACAGCGGGCCAGCATATCAGCAGGTGCTAGGAATAACTGTTTATGCTTCTGTATTAGTAGCAAGAGGCAGGCATGAGCAGCGCGACTCTCACTTATCTGACGTTGATCAGCAACGCTCTCAATCACCATTCTATAAAAAGTAATAAAATAAGTATTTGTTTAGATGACTTTAATAAAAACTTACTATCTGTAAGACAAAAATACTATCTCAATCGTCCTCATCATTCTCCATCAGGCTAGATTAAAGTTAATCGCGGGATGATAAAGTTGCCAATCGACTTACCTGTTAGAGTTGCCCTCTTTGGTGCTGCCAGTGGTGGGTGGCGCGTGGTGCAGCCGCAGCAGCGTGGGTGCAAGGCACACCGCCAGATTCGACGCTGTCATCTGGTTCACGGCCGAGTGCTCCGCCACCTAGCGGCATACCAGGTATTACAAGACGAGAGCTATGTTTGGGACTAACATGGATACTTCTACAAACATGAATATAAATAGATACCGTAACTGCGTCTATAATTTATGTATTAATTTTATATTACATGTCGTATTTTAATTTAAAGGATAACGTATAACAATGCCATTACTGGATACTGTCATTTAAGATCTTCATTGATATCATTGGTGTCGTTTTGTTAATTTACAATATGATTGATTGTATTCTTCATTGTTAAAAAAATTATTTGTTATTAGTCTCAATTTTATTTGCCTATGATATATTCATAATATAATATCTAATATGAATGATCGAATATGTAATATTAAGATTTATTAAACTTTCATACTAACATCAGCTAGAAATATCAATAAGGAATGCAACGCCTCCAAATGTTCTTCAGGCAACAGTAACAAAGCACACTGTACCGCATCAGGTCTTAATGGTTCGGGAACATCTGAAAATAATAAAAGCAAAAATAAGTAACTTCATAATAGTATTGCGGAAATGATAAATATTGGAGGAAGTCTAGACTGAACAGAAACAAATAGATCGTGTACAGTTTGATCTTCCTCAAACTCAATCAAGAGTAGGGGTATAATGTGAGACTAGTTATGAATGTGGGTGAAGCAAGAAAAGTAGTTAAAGATAAAAGCTTTGGTACTGTATCTATTGGGTCAGAGATCTGACTATAATTCACCTTAAAAGATAAAACTACCGTTCACAAAATATATTCTCCCTTGTGATTATGGAAGTTATTGGTAGTTAGAATCCTAAATAATATCCTAAAAGTAAACGTAAATACTTTATTCTTCGTAAAGTATCAAAAGACAAAACTAATGAGAGGTTATCCTAGTTTTTTCTGTTGACCTTTACTGAGTGATAATTAACGACAAAATGAAGTACAAGTACTAATTACACAGTATTTACCTTTAATTAAGTCGTAGATTTTTCTTTCTTAGATGAGATTTCTAAATTTCATTTCATGAAATGTTTATAAAAATCATTACTTAATTTTAAAAATTTTATACAGCTGTTTCATACCAGCATCATTATATATGTAAATTTATTTTGTTACTTTATTTTAACTGTATGTTGATATCTAAATTTTTATGATACGATGCTTATATTCATATTCACAGAGATTAGTAACTTGTAAAATTAACTATTTAAAATCAGTATTAGTTGAGTTATCAATTGCAGCTGCCCTGTGAGAGGCTGAAGACCGTGCGAAATGGAGAAATATCATAAGAGAGGCAATAGACACCTTTCAAGGATACGATCTTCAGTAATGAAGTGGACGAAGAGAGAAAGAGAACAGCTGAGTTGATTGTCTGAACTATTTAGTTGATTTCGAATGGTTGATACATAGAAAAAAAAACACTCTTTTTAATAAAAAAAAATGATTACTTACGTTGGAATATAGCAATGAAGGTTTCGCTTAGTTTATTGGTCAGCAGTGCATCAGGCAACTCTCTGAAGTATTGCTTCACCATGTCGGCGACATCATGAGCTTGGGATCCGTCGAAGTTAAGGTTCGATTGGTTAGGATCTACTGTATTGATGTTCTCTATTGCAAATGGCGCGTTCGCTGCCCCCGCTGCTTCTACTGTCTGCCGAAGTTTCGCTATACGTGATTTAACACCAGCTTTTCTAAATATGCCCATCTGGAAAAAAATATTAAATTAAGATTTTGTTATATATTGACAATATAATTTTTTATTATGTTTAAATTTTTTTTATACTGTTGAGCTAACGATGTTTGATGGAAAGTGAAAATTATCTTTAAAATATTTTTTTATGTTCACATTTATTCAACTAAATAAAAATTAATTAACAATTAATTTTTATTTAGTTGAATATTTAAATCAAAAGGCAGATATGTAAACACTTTTAATTAATAAACTATCAGTTGGTATTATGTACGAATGTAGGCTAAGTACTTAATACGAATCTTTAATAAAAGTAACTGGCTTCTAAACGCCAAAATTTGCATCAATTTTAGAATCCTATTTTCTTAAGGTACTAGGAAAATATGAATTGTGCAAAACAAGTAACAAAAATGCGCAGTTGATTCTTGTTGAATGAATAGCATCCAATTATAATAAGTACTTGTCACGGACAGAGGAAATGTGTTTAAATTAATTCATGCAAGATGAAGATTAATTCATGCATCTACGATATCGTTGAGGAAAAACCGATCCAATTATTATTTCGAGCAATATTTTTCTTGTAAATTCAATTAATATTTTTTCAATTTATATACTCGTATTAATTCTTTTCTTAAGAACAAAATAACTTATTGCATAATCTTTGCCAATGACTTACAAAATCATATTTATGAATCAATTAAAAATTAATTATTTGCTACAAAGAGAATCTAATATTAATTTGTTTAACTATCAAAATTACAGAAATTAAATTTGCTTAACTAAATCTGTTTTAAGTTTTTGTATTTTCTGATCTATATAAATATAAAGATGGAAATGTGACAAGTGCATTTTGCTTTGCAAAATAATTCAGTTGTCGCATACAGACTGACAAAATACAAAGTATTTTGTAGACGCCTTGAAAATATTTGAATTTAGAACGTGAAGTAATTATATTTCACAATAAGTAGTTTTGCGTCTCAAACAATATATCAGCTTCAATAGCACACAATTAATATGGGATCAGCATAGGAGTTCGTAATAAACGAATTTAGAACCATCTTTTTTAGGAAGTGGTTGAAAAAAACTGTTCCTTACCTGATCCAATGCGTTGTTCTTCAACCAATTCAACGCAGATTGTATTGGTTTTGGTAAGGAATGGCCTGTTCTTTGTAATGACACTGTTAGAGGTACACCGAACACTGTTTTATCTGAAAACAATATTTTCATATGTAGATCTTTAAGTTTTATATTGCATTAATTTATATGTAATTTAAAATTATCAATATACATGCCTATAGATTTAGTATAGCAATCAAATTTTATAAAAAATTTATAACTATGTTAAGATTGTTATTTTGATATTTATATTATCAAGATTTTGTCTTGAAATTCATTTACAGTTATAATTTTTTACTTCATTATCATATTCTACAGTACTATTAATACTTCAACAGTCCTATCAGGAATTACAGGATTTTCGAGCATATTTCATGGTATAAAAAAAAAAATTTAAATTATGTCTATTCAGTTGAGGATTATTACGTTCTTTACTGATTATAATTTTCTGGCAAATATATTTTACATTAAAATCACCATTGATAAAACTGCTAATTCCATTAACTTCTTTAAATACTTTATTTTTTTTTCTAAAAACAAATTCGTATTATTGTTTTCTTTAATTCTTTAATTTTATATTTTTACCTTTGTAATCTGGGGTTTTTATCTTTCTGATGAGTTTGGGAAGTTCCCAGTTCCATCCAGATTTGTGTGAGGGGCAGTATCTCTCCATACACGCTGTCAGTCGTAGAAGAGCTAGCTTCCTCAGTATATGCAACTGCCCGCATGATAACGATGACATTGGTCGCGACACTACACATAGAAAACAGTTTAATTAATTATTATATTATTTAAGACCTTTTTTCCAAAGATACCTTATCAAAAATTTTACCAGAAGATTCACAAACTAACATTTTGCAAATTTAGTCTGCTTGAGTAGTACCCTTTGTTCCATTCGTATTTGCATTAATATATTGCTGTAGCTTCATTGTTGTGTTTCAGTTAGAAGGGTAGGATATTGCAAAGAAATTGTTATGTTTAGAAGCATAAAGTTTTAGTTCTTAGAATGTCAATGCGTAAAGTATTAGGAACCTAGAGCATTCTGTACGTTCTTTTTGATATGTATAGGTAATAGTTACCAATTTCAGGAACAGGTTGATGAACCTGTTTGCCATTCCAAGTACAAAAATAGCAATAAAATAATGAATATAATATTTATCACAAAGGAGTAAAGGCTAACTTACAATAAGTCTCAGGGTCCTTTTGGTTGGGTACCGGTTGGAGGGTATTATTCGCTTTGGGTCCACCGTTGAGTGCACTTGTCCGAAACGAGTACCATCTCTGAATGTTGTTTCTGAAATGAATTGATTTCTGCTTTATCAACTTTGTTCAAGACTTTTGATATCTTTTAAATACGTATTTTTATTTCCTATAGGAAAACATCCTTCCGATTATCATACAATTTAAAATTAGACACAAGACGGTTGAATGTTATAATAAAAATAATCTATTATTATTATTATTATACAATGTCCTAATTTGTTAGTAACATAATCTTAGCCTAATGCTAGAACATCTTACAATAAAATAAAAAAATGAAATAAACAAATTTGGTCACCAATGAAGCATTTGATATACTACAACAGTGGCCAATGTAAGGCAGTCCAACCTGCTTGCATACATATTCAGGATACCTTTGATTGGTTGGTTTGTCGGTAAAAAAAATTTAAGATTAAGTGAAGATTTTTTCATTATATAGTATATGTAGTTGGTCAAAGCATATAACCCATCAGATTAAGGTCCTTCTAAATAATCCTTGATTTTACTTGCATATGGTCCAGCATTTTATTATTTTATTACCCGAATATATTGATACAATCCGATGGACAGCGGTAATTGTAACATCGGTTTCCATCTGGTGGGCTCTTAGCTTGTTTGACATGCAAATTGCATATAAAATATATATAACGTACAGACATCAAAGGTCATCTCCTAAAAGTTTTAAGATCCTATATCTATCCACCATTGTATCTTTGGATACTTTAATCTTGATTATAAAAGTATGTACTAACTTCTTAGTTTTGATATCGAGGCTATCGTCATCGTCATCCTGATCCCCGTCGTGCGAGCGAGAGCCAGCCGAGTTCGGGCTGCTGTTCAATTCTGAACTTCTGGATGCTGATTTATCTCTTTTGAGACTTCTGTCCCGGAACCTTTGTAGAAAAATGAACATATTTAAGAAAGTTAAAATGAAAATGCCCGGCGGGCGATTTTTAATGTACTAAAATTTTTAATAGATTAATTTTTTGCTCGACTTATTCAGCACGCAACAAAATCGCCCGTTATGAATTATGGTAACATTAACATTAATTGACTGTTATAAACGAATTTCGCTTTGTGATAATTGCTTAGTTCGTATATAATGAGCGAGCTGCAAAGTATCCCGTTATTATATGCTTTACTGGTAATGAAGACACACACACATACACACAAGCATATACAATCAAATAAACACGTACACATATAGTTTTTGTCAAGCCATACAAGCCCAGACAAATTTATTATATGTATTGCACGAATTCCTATGATCACCTTCCGTCTTTATTATCAGACGACGATAAGATAATATTAAATTGTCATGGAATTAAATAATTATGGCAAGTTTCAGTACAAGTTGATTCCAGCAGGTGGTTAACAAATGGACAACAATATTTCGAATGAAAAGACATACTAAAGCAAGTTTAATAGAAGCTTATAAAACAAAGGAAAATGACACTAACTTTTGTCCATCCTTCCCGAGGTTTAGCGAGCTGGTCCTGATAGCCTGCCGCCTGTGTGGCGTGTGCCCTGGTGACTTCTGCACCTCGCGCAAGATCTCCGGATCCGGCTTTAGCTCCACTGGTGACGGTGGTTCTACGTACACCTGGTAATCAAGAAGAATGAATGTGTGACCTATTATATTCTTTTTGAAGTCGATTTCTAGAATTTGTTTTTTATTTGAACTGAAACTTAAAATATATGCTCTGAGTATATTCGAATCAGCCATCAACTGTTCATTGCTGAACTTAGGTTTCCTCCATAAGGGGGTTTTGTCTGTAGTTGCCACACTTGGTAGGTGGGTTAGTTATGCTATTGGTGCACCTAAGATATAACTATTAGAAATAAATTATCATAAAGTACGAATGATAAAAATGGCAGTCGCATTATTTGTCGCGTTGGCTTTTCACTCAACGTATTTAAAATTCCATAATTTTTGTCAAGACTGTAATGATCAATATACAATTATAATTTAAGTGAAGTGAAATTGTACTATAGCATTTAGGATATTTTCGGGGGTTTTTTTGCCAGTGGTTGCCACGCTTGGCTTGTCATTAGCTATGTACCTTGTGAAAATTTCTTTGTCTGTAAATATCTTAACAAAAAATAGAAAAATTACCTCAGTAGTGTGATGAGTATTATGATCCTTATAGTAATTGTGTCTCCAACTAGCCGGCTGACATTCCGAGTCACTTAGGGCACTGGAATCATCATTCTTCATGCCTCTATGAAAAATTCTCTTTGCCCGTCCAAGCTTGGACTTGGTACTTTTATTGCTCGAACCCATACTACCATCGGATGCATAACTTGAGCTATCATCTCCAAAAGGAGGATTCAGTACAAAGGATTGCTCCAAAGGGGCTATAGGGGATGGTGGCATTATAGTCATGGGAGAAGGTGGTTGTGTTCTAATTGCTGGGGCATGGAGAGGAGAACTGTTAAAGTCAGGGAAGGGAAACGCAGTTGGGGAGGTAGGAGTCATATCTATGTAGTTCAATTCTGGATATCTATCTTGTTGTGTATCTAAGAAATGAGGAGAAGAGACGATAACTTCTGTTCTGTTTTGCCGTTTTCTTCTCCTCGTTTTGAGAGATTCGACTCTTCGAAGAAAGGCTTTAGCGCCGTCTCTGAGACGTTCGGAGCCTGTCCTTCGAAATCTGGTACCAGTGTCCTCTTCATCTTCTTTGTCACTCGGTAACTGTATTACTGGCTGGCCTGGTATAGTTAATCTAAAACAAATAATATATGTCTTAAAAACAAATACAGCTGCACTAGTTATGGAAGAAGGTAACAAAATTCTGTATGCATAATTTTGTATAATAAAATTAATAAAGAATCCTCCCCACCGAGTATATTAGAACCTAATATAGCAAATGATAAGCCTACTGTTTACCATTTGGTACATTATCGGTTAAATTCAGTCTTTTTCGTAATCAGAGCTTTATTTTTCTTATTATTTAGAAATTAAATTATTACATGACAGCAGCCAATAAAACTTTGACGTCGTTGGTAGTCAGTTAATGTTGTAGTAACTTGTCCTGTGCGATCCCGAGTAATCGTCAAGATAACAGGCAAGCAATAACTTTAAGAGTTACATTTTAAACGTGTAGTTTGTGAGCTTATCGCTAACGTTAGCAGCAATTACGATATCTCCTCACTATCTCTGTCGCAACAGTTGCGTATGGTATCCGGTATTTCTTTTTACTAGTCTGTTTGACTCGTTTGGTCAGGTAGCATGATCTTAACTGTTTATTGTCATGTGAAATAGTTATAAGTACGTTGTTATGTCTCAGTTTGTGCATCTGTAGTTACAATTTCTGTGGTATTGAGGTACCAAAATGAATTTCAGTTTAATTTCTGTTGTTAGAAGCTACCGCATTTCAGATGGCCGATCAGGCAACAATCATCTGAAAGCCAACCATGGATGGATTAAGGCATGGATAATATGGATACCGTGTGGGGGGAAAGGGATTGTTAGTAACGGAGACTGAGAATCCCATTGCTAGCAATATACCCAACCATAGTCGACCTCCTCGCGGTTCTCCCTGGAAACTATCATGGTTAATTCCTAATGGGCTAACTGGCTTGTTTTTATTCTCATTTATCACCCTTCACTGGTGCTGCGCTAGCATATCCCGTTAGCGCAGGCGGGGTTACCATACTATTTTCACCCATCAAAAAAAATATGGATACCGATCCAATATCTATATATTGGGGATTGGGGAAAAAAAATCATCACTAATTTCGATATTACGCGTATAGATCGGATATCTATTTTCGAATAGTTTAAAAGTCTGTTATTTAATATTATTTTTTTGGATAACAGACTTTCGTCCCATTCGTGTTTCTATTGTGAAGCAGTTGTGTTTGTATGGTTGTGTTTCGGTTTGAAGGGTGGAATATGGAGTGAATTTACAGGGTACAGAGGAATAATACCTGATTCATTAGGGATGGCAACGCATGGGGGATATTATGGGCGAAACAGTATACTCTGTTATGTCTATAGGCGACGGTTACCACTTTCCATCAGGTGGGCCGTCAGCTTGTTTGCCATTCTAAGTTGTATAAAAGAAATCATTATTGGACCAGTATATAGTATATTCTAATTACAATATATATATATTGCTATATATTATATAATTTTATTTATTTATTTATTATTACTATTACCTATTATATATTACCTACCCCTACCAACCAAACCAGAGACAATCCACGAAACTTCGTTGTCTAAAATGGCTCGATGAGTATGAACTTGTACTTGAAACTAGGGCAGATGTTCTCGTCACGGGAATTCCTTTTAAGGAAACCAAAGGGAATGACATTTATAGATACTTGGTATCAGCAACAAACTGTCGTGACACGAAGCAAGTACTTACCATATCTGTTAACTATTTCTAAATTGATACTACTAGATGTATTAACTATTCTGCCGCACGTATCCACTTTGGCACGTGTAAAGCCAAACTATTTAGTTGCTAAGTAATTGACTTGTTCGATACTTGATTCGAACTTGTAGCATGTCCTTAGATTCATAATTTATTTACAATTACTCGATGTTGTTTCTAATCCACAACTCCCATATAAACTTCCATTGCTTATTTAAATCTTCTAAAGAGATGATTTTTTAAATTAAAAAAAAATGAAAATTCCTTCTTCCTTCCTTCTCTTGTACCTAAATTATTTACCAGTATAGGCAAGGTTCCCGTCTGGTCCTGGCATAGAATACCACTTCCTTTCCCATTGGTGTAGTAAGAGGCGATTAAGGTAAGGCGAGGGATATGCGGCGTCTCTCCTAAAACATCACCAAAGCCTAACTGCAGTTACCAATCCGGCTGCCAAGCATGGCAACTACTAGTAAAACCCCTAGGGGGAGACTTATGTTCAGCAGTGGACAATTAAAAGCTGATATGGTGATGATCAAGAAAAGACAAATTATTAGATCTATTGAGGACAGAAGGGGAAAAATTTTGGGACACTTGATACGACACGACGAACTTATGAACATTATAATAGAAGGTAAGATAGAAGGAAGGAGGGGAAAAGGGAGACCGAGATATAGTTACATCAGGCAGATCGAGGAAGGAGTTGGTGTCGTGTCGTATCAAGAGGTGAAGAGACACGCTGAAAATCGTAGTGAGTGGCAAGAGCTCCACCGACAAGAGCGCAGCTCTTAGATAGGATAGATAGACGGTGATGATACATATTAACAGATTTAAAAGTGTAACTGTTGAATTTCTTGCGAGCTCTTGTCAACATATAACAACTTTGAGAACCCTGTATTTATAAAAAAAAATGACGATTTAGAAGTACTTGTGAACAAGTCTATTTTAATAAAAATAATTAAAATTCGTATTTGAATAAATTTAAAACTTTTATTAAGTGTCAATTGTTAAGAAAAGTTTTTTTTTTTTACTCTAAAATCAACTTAGAAGACAAACATACTCGGTACTATATTTATTGTTCTGGGTCTCCGACATAGCTGAATACGGCAGTTTCGAAAACTACTGACGACGCTTGTTAAAAGTTGTATAATTGTTAAATCTCATATAATAAAGTCGGTTTGTGAAACTTTACAACTTTAGGCTGGATCAGCGATGGCGCTAATACAAACAAATAGAGTTATTAAATCACGCTGTTGTAATTGTAAATACAGCCAGTGTTTAGTAAGTGATATATATATATAGAGTTAGAGAAAATAATTAATTAGCGGGTCTAGTGCAGGAAAGGTATAAGTAAAAATAATACAAATAGAATAAACATACACAAATTGTTATATATATATATATATATATATATATATATATATATATATATATATATATATATATATATATATATATATATATATATATATATATTATAGAATCAAGATCCTGGCATAGAATAGGACACCCCTACTGTGGGGGGAAGGGATTGTTAGTAATGCAAATCAGAACCAGTCCCATTGCCAGCAATATACCCTGTCAGGCCGACCTCTACGTGGTCTCTCCTAGAAACTGTCGTGCTGAATTCCAGGTGTATTCATCACGATGGGTTAACTGACCTGCCTTTTCATTCTCATCTATCATCCCTCACTGGTGTCTCGTCAAAGTATACCGTTAGCGCAGGCGGGGCTACCATTCCATTATCATACATTAAAAAAAATAGCCTACCCCTTCCTTTCGTGCGGGTGTCGTAAGAGGCGACTAAGGGAGGGCCAGGAATGGGCAGCAACGTCTCTGTTGAAACATCACCAAAAGCCAAACTGCGAGTGCCAATCTACCTTCCAATCGTGGTATTCTATGCTGGGACCACACGCCAAAATTACAATATGTTAACATTACGTGTAATTATTTAAATGCACTATTATAATATTAAAAGACAAATCCAATGTAATTTAACGCTCGTTCTCATAAAATTGATTTTTTTGTAAACCATATTTCAGAGTAGCAAGCTTGAAGATTATTGTTTTAAGAAATAATAGAAGTTAGTTAAATGGAAAATCAGCGTTGATTTTAAGAATGACGAGTACAAAATAAATAAAAATCAACCATTTTATAATGATTAATATTCAGTCTACGTTTCAAGAGAGGACCTGCCACTTGGTCTTTCTTGACTAATCAACTAAGGCCGCGAGATATAGGTAATAAGATCATAAAACAATAATGGTTATTAATTACTAAAAATTAAAAAAAAAAGATTTCATTTTAAAGAATTACTGTAGCATTTGTTTTTATTACCGTCACCTGTACTCGATTATAGAATGGAATCTGCGTTATCTCATATCGTATCGTGACGAATGAGCGTGAATTCTATCTCAAGATGGAAATATTTCCCTTGAGTTTTACATTCTAGCAATTAATCTTGCGTTAACGCTTTCCGCTCCAAATTCGTATACCCTTTATTTGGGTTATTCGGCTGGCGTAATGTATGCGGACAATGCGTGGACTCACTGAGAGCGTTTATAATCTAATATTAATATATTTTAATTAATAGCAAAATATAAACTATTTAAAGTAAGATTTATAAATAGTTAGTCTAAAAGAATCTTAATTTATCTAATAAATACATACAGCAACCAATATATAACCATCTTAGCTCATAGAAAATTAAATTCCTTTATATAATTTCTTCTACCCAAAAGATGGGAAACTACACATGCATTGCTGATTCACGACAAAAACAGGCACGATTGTAGAGTTACACAGAAATCCTATTTACTCTGATTCCCCTAGAGACCACAGCATGGGGTTCTTCAAAAGGGACGCAATAAAGTATTTGAAGGATTAGCAACACGTACGTGACATCTCTGGTATTGCAGGCACACATAGGCTACAATTACCGGAATAATTTGTCACTGAAATGGTATAAAAAATCATAGTATTATATTGATATACTACATATACCATAGCTCTGTATCAATGGGATATGCAGAAACAGGGATCGCCAAAGGATCATAATTAAATAGATAGAACTTCCGTCCCTTACACGTCTGTTAATTCAAACGGTAGAGAATGGCCCTTCCTTATCAGTATTTACACGTATTTCGCGCTTGGTATATTCTTAAATGAACAATTACCTCTATCGTAATTCTTTTTCATTCAATCTCTCCAAATAATCAAACCAACATACGGAAAACATCTACTTTTTACTCTTTGTCACGCTTCTCTGTGATTGTTCTATTCTTCACTCTATGTTTCAAATAGATTCTCTATATAGAATTAATTATAAAAATTATATAGAACTA